ACACATAACAGTGCTAAATACACCTTCTGTTCTGCAATCGTACCTTTGTTAATTACTTATAATATTAATGCGTTGTATTGTGTTCATTAATTCGACATACATTCTTAATAATCTGAAATAGTAGTCGTATTTAATATAATACTATTATAGTTTAAGGTATCATTTGTTTAATCAGAAATTCAGCTATAGGATTACCGGCCATTAATATTTGGATAGGCTATAGTTAAGAGTAAATAAAAAGAAAAAAGTAAACTTTTTCTTTTGCATCTATAGAAATAAATACAATATAAAAACACATCGTGGCTGTCTTTGGGGGAGGCCTATACCTAGCAGTGTCTGAAAAAGAAGAGAAATAAAACACATGTGTAGACAACGTTAGTTGTTAGTGATTCGAGATTAAAATGGGGTGCATTCATTCACTTGGGGCGAGTTTCATTAAAGTTACCAATTGGTATAAGCATTTCACATTTAATCAAATGCATCCCTTGACAACATTTGGTAAAAATTAACACATCATTGAATCCTATCGGGATAGATAAAATGTCCTAGTCATTATCTGATCCGTCTTAGCAGACACTAAAACAATAATAAATAGCATTTCTCGTGTCTATGAATAGAAGATATACATAATATGAGAGTCAGAATTCGTTGTTAAACGAATTAATAACTTGCTTCCGAAAGCAACATAATTGTAGGAAGCTAGAGAGATATTTCAGAGAAAAGCACTCTTTTAAATTGTTCCCAACCTCTGGGTCAGAGACAATTCCTTAATCGCACAAAGTCAGGAGCGTTTACGCTACAGCCTCATAATTACATTAACTACGCGTTGCGTTTACTAGAGGACACGATTATACAGGGGGAAGAATAATTTGTATTTTAAAAATTACGTAACCACTTCTACCGCTGCTTATACAGATATATCCAGTTTAATCTTTATTTAACTATATTCTTGATATCGTATCTATTACCGAGATTTTTTAACATATAATAACTTACAACCAAGCAACAAGATCTTAAGGTTTTGTTATATTTATGATGTTTAATTACTCACTTGTCTCGTTATTTAATATTGATATAATTTTAGAAGTGATTTTTTAGTATTTAGCTATAAATAGAAGTTAAGTATTAAACTTTTTCTCCAGTAAATTTAATAAAAATATAATTTAAATAATGCTGTAATTGGAAACCTCCTGTATAACAGAAGTGGTGTTACCCTCCAGACCGGTCTAGACAAATTGTCGCACCCCATGTTCACATTATTGCCGATATTTAATTGTTTGCGTAATTTATTTTGCAAAAGCTGGATATGGGATGTGTTCAGACAGGTGGACCCGCGATAAAGGACTTTGCTCGGTTTATTAATATTTTATAACCATACTTAGTTTATTTTAAGTTACTCTTTTTGACATTTATAACGTTGCTTCAACATGTAAGCTTAATAATATTTAAAACTTTTTTAGAATATTTTGTCAAAACACATATGACTATCTGTAATTTTAATTTTTTACTTACTATTTTTTTTTATTTGTAAAGTAAACATGCATATATTTAGATACTATCCTAGATGTGTAGTACTACGAAGATGTTTGCTAGTCAACAGCACCCCAGTATGAACGGGAACTAGAGTAACAGTTAAATGTACACAAGCGTAGGGTACCGGGCATGACTAAACGTCGCCTGCAATTTGGACTGCCGTCACATGCAGCGTGCTCAATCGTGACAGTTGAATATTTCAGTGTTAGTCACGCGCGCAATCGTTGCGATCTTTTAAATTGCACAGAATAGATATGTATACGCTCTAAATATGTTTTATTTTAATGTAATATGAATGTGTTGTCATGATTTATATCAAACATAAAAAAAATATATTTTAACGGACGAAAAAAAAATTAAACGCACGATAAATAGAGAATGGATTGAATGAAAAATGAATGATGAGTGTCCGCCAAATTGAAACACAAAAATGTTGAATCAAATGTCAATTTCATTTCACATTATTTTTTGAATTGTAGATTTTAATTGCTTTTATAAAACTAAATTAATTTATCACTACACATATCATTTTTTTTTAGTTTATTATAGACTATTAGGCATACGAGTACCAACTCTTTGAAGTCAATAATAAGTAAGAAGTACTTTAATTTTTCAAAGCAATACATCTCTTGAACATATCTCTCACTAGTATAGGGGAATGCTACAGTTAATTTCACTTATAGAATTAGTTTTAATCTATAGCTGTCCATCAACCGTACTGGTAATATGGCGGAGTACCTAATTTATCCGTTTTATCTGTTCCGCTCAATAAGACAAACGAGGTTTATCCGTGACGGCTTATCTTAATAACTTTCGGAAGATAACGTACGATTTTCGTATCGTAACGGATGCACGCAACTATAATTGTAAGTATTCCGTGAATACCGACCATTTTTATTCAGGAATTTAAGTACTGGCAATTGTTTTCATATGAGATGACTTTCTTAATTAAAATTACGAACCGATAAAGAAATTTTCAAGTTGGTATATGGCAGTGTCCGACTGATAAATTTACAGTAAAGGCAAGTGATTGTATTGTTAGAAATTCTTTTAAATATATTATGTGATATTCACTCCGCTGTCACAGCGAATCATAGTGGCCTGCCCTGCGCCTCCTACCAGTCCCTGTGTTACAATTACCTACCTTTATATCGTTGAATATTTTTAACTAACTTTATTGACTTTTACGTTATTGTACATCGTAAAATAATCGAATGTTACACTAGAAATGTTTCGAAACTATTATTTTATTGTTTTTGGCATACTTTGCGAAAAATAACAAACAATTTTAAATACACTTTTAAACATGGTTATGGAAGTCTGCCAACAAATGTTATGAAAAGGCAACGAAAGGCGTTCCAAAGCCGTATTCGACACTATGACTTGTAGTAAAAGACAGGTATTTTAATGGAATACTATTTTTAAAATAATATCTAGACAATGTGAATGTTAAAATCTTTGTCATGCTAACACTCATCGCTTTTAATTCTACAGAACTTTTCGAAATGTAAACATGATTCTTCAAATGGAATCACATTCAGACTGAAATCAAGAATATTTCAACAAAAAATCTCTAATACATATATTTTACATGTGATTGGTACTTGTCTAAGTATGGTTGTAGATATCCTTTTGGGTTAAAACTGTCGAACACATTGGTGAAACGTCCAAATATTGTTATTTTGCTTATCCTGCTGTATCCACACTCGCTTTCAATGTTCTGTTTTTGCTCGACATGTCGTGTAAAAAATAAAATGAAAGTAACGCTTTTTTATCAAATTTTACGATCAAATGCGCGATCCAGAGATTCTCGCCACAACGTTTTATTTGATTCAAAATGTATGCGCCGCAATGGTTCCAACATTACGAGGGTTATCGGATTTTTAAATATGTACTTTATTACAAAGTTATACGACATGATTGAACTGTAAATTAATTTGCAACGCACAGCCGAATTGCAATATCGCGGGTACGCGCCCCCAAGCCATTTTAATTCACGTCCACGCTTTAAGCAAATCGTTCTTTCACGCAAAACGGTATGCCATCCCGACGACACAAAGGGATAACTGTGCATTTTTCGTCGCGTCGCCCGAATAAAAGTGAAGCCACCCGTGAAAGTAGACGTTTATTTAGTGTCTTATTTCTTTTTATGCGGATCCCCAAGAAATGAGATGTTTTATGAAAATTGTTTTTCCGGGACATTAGCCAGTCCTAATTATGGCCGCTTAAACTCTGGGCCAATTTTCCTGGACGTTTTCACGTTGACTATGACAAAGTGGACCGGGAGGAAACAATTTTGCGTGGACGTGGGCTTATTAGGCGACTGAAAGTTACATAAATTCTGTTGACATTGAAAGGCTGCTCCACGAGATGAACTCATTTTGCGCGTAAAAAATGTAATAAAGAAACGACTGGTAATCTTAGCATGGTATTTCTAAGATTATTTTTTCGGTATTAGTTAATGTATTAGAGGGATGAAACAAAAAATATGTCCATAGAGGTGGTGTGTCTGCTTACGCAAACCTTCTACTTTCGTGTTAGTACTGTGTAAGAAACCAAAATGTAACTGATTCATTAAGTTATGATGTTTTAAATAATTTAGGAATCGAGTTAAGTCACTTGAATTTTTCTGATATATGTTTTCCTTTTATGAGACATGAAGTGTTCATTTCTGGCAGTGACGTCGAGTTTTGGGACCATGATTATATTTCATGGAGAATTTCATCATCTCGAAAATGAACACGAATAAAACTAAGTCAAACGTTCTGTCTGCATTAGGTTGATATTAAAATATATTTATCACCTAAGTACCAGACAGTTAAACGATGGCTTGTTACCATTACCATCGCGGTAATAAATTACCATGTTACATTTCCCGCCTCATACAATTGATGGGCGCTCGCAGTCACGTATGGAGTCCCTTTGGACAGGGAAATGAAATAATTTGTCTTCGTGAGGGTGCATGTCATATTTATAAGTGCTGTTTGCGGGGTGAATGGCCTTACGTAATTTTACTTTTGCATATATCGATTCAAAAAAGGATATTTTCGAAATTATTTGGAAAAAAATCTCCAAATTGTTTCGATTTTTAATAAACACAAAAATTATACAAAAAATAATTACAATTTTAGAAAAGAAAACTTCAATACATAGTTTATAAAAATTAATTTTACATACTTTAAGCCAGTTTAACGTTCCGAAGCGTGCTTGCAAATATTTTAGATGTCCTGTGGGAAATCTGCAAGTTGCCTAGAATTATAAAAGCTCGCCTACATTGTACTTCGAAGAGTGCTTGCATACGAAATTACAATTCGCTCAACACGTGAGTGTTGTTTTGTTTAACAAATAGTACCCTGAAACGAATTCACTTTGAAAAAAGAAAAATTGTTCTTTTCGCTTCTGTTTTTGTTTTATTTTTCTGCAATCCTTTATTATCCAGTTTTTAATATTAATTTTTTGTATTACAGATGCAGCATCTGTTAATTATTTCAGGTAAGATACTATGTTATTCTGTAGTCTATAATTTAGGCACTTTCTACAAAAAATAAGTACATCGCTAAATATTTTTGAAACTGTAAAAGATTTTTTTTTACTTGTATTGTTCATTTTCAGGAAACTACTATTATTATTAATAGGTAATCATATAAATTAGTAATGTTCGTCATGATACATATTAAATGTTTGCCGGATACGATAATGCTATTGTTCAATATCAGATATCCATCCGATGTAAAATATAAATGAAAGATATAATATAAGCTAATTACGCATCACTTCCGATACGTTATCGAATCTAATTCCGATCTATTTGTTTATTGCTCCCAAATTTATCTACTACTCGTACTTAAATCATAAGTGTTTTATTGAACTAATTTCAATTATTGAAATCACAATTAAACATAGGAAACGAACACACGATTTCATGATATAGAAATACTGATAGGGAAGGCTCACACATTAGAAACAGCGAATACGTGAAAATTAAAAAAATAATAATATCATTCATTCATGCTGAAAATTGAACATTTGATCTTTTTAAATTTGAATAATTGGACATATAAATGTTATCATTTTAAATGTATCACTTACACAAGCCCATTACAGTAATAGAATAAGTAAAACGTGTCTCCTGAATTATTACTCAATCTAACAACAACGGCCCCGGGCGAAGACGCACGTGAAAATTGCCAATTATTCATAATAAAGTCTTTTACAAACGAAGCCTTAGAACTCAACACAAATGTATATCTCGTATCTCTTACTACATTTGTTCACATTACCACCATTATTCGTATATGTTATGCGTTCTCTTAGTTTGTTAGTTTTTAGGAGACAATAATAAAATATTTAGAACTAAACAAAAAGCTTTAAATCTTTGTATTATACAATTAATATCGAAACAATGTTACATTCTATTCATATACAAAATAAATGATCCGTGATAACCAAGAGATAATTCACATAAACAAAACAACGCGACAATCAATCATCAAATCTAAAACACACAAAATAATTAATCATATTGAATTTTCCATGACATTACACAACGAATTGGTAATACGGGAACAGTTTGAACGCGTGGACAAGCAAATAATAAATCTGCTATCGGACCACTGGCTGGAAACCCCTTCGCTATAATATTTTGTTACTATTCAACTCTAATTTTATTTATAGTCCAATAACCCTCACGCTTCATTGGAAATGTGAAAAAGTCGGAGAGTACAGAAATGTACCGACTCATTTGTACGGCAAATTGTACTCCAGTGAGACGTTATGTTGAGATTTAACTTGCAACTTACCAACAAGCTTACTAAATATATTAACAAATTTAAACTAAAGAATGGTGGTAAATTTAAAGTAATTTATGTTATAATATTATTACTTATTAACTTAGCATAAGTGTAACGATCTCTGAATAATAAAATGCAAACTTAAAAAAAGTAACAACTGCCAATGGCTTTCGCCATGTTATCCCTTCCCAATTTTCTCCTGCGTCTATTATTAACTATTTGTCTATAGAAAAGGGTTCCAAATTCACTTTACCGTTTCCAAGTCAGAGTGCTAGCAACGAATCATGTCTATACACTCACCTTATACGAGTAACCAGCGGCGGCCTCCCGAGAGATGGAATATAAAGCGATTCCAGCAAATCCCCGCAAGATTGAATCCGGCAAAGTTTTCCACTAGTGTGTCAAAAAACTTATAATTCCGCTTACCGTTCGTCTATTGAATTTCTCTCGTTATTTATTGTTGGCGATAAAATAATATTAATCTGGCGAGGATTACGCTTGGATTTTATTCTTCTATCCGCAAGTCGGAACTTCGAAAATAGCCCCTGACAAGTCGTCGTTGAGCATAATGATGATACGCTTTTCGTTTTTTTATTGATTGTGCAATTTTTATTTACTGCAGTTCTATAAAGCGTAAACCTGACATAACATTGGATTTCTTTTAAAGACTTTGAAATACATACATTATTCTTAAGTCTATGAATATCGATAAGCGAGCTGCAATGAAATCCTTTGTCTTTAATTTTTATACTTGGAATAAACTCCTGAATACAATGACTCCTCGGGAGTAATGTCCACACAAATATAGTCGATTCTTATCAAAGCCAAGTAGTAATCAGCTGTGGAAGTTTCCCCGCGAAAGAGGGATTATATTTTCGATAACTTAGGCGAGGGTAGGGCGCAATAAATAGAGAAAAGTGAGATATTAAGGGGAGGACCAGTCTCCCGCATACGAGTAATCTAGAAATTTGTTATGGTTTTAACAGAAAAACAAATTCATCCTCAAAGAATCTCTTGGGACCGATGTGATGTTAACGCAACTTATGCGGGATTCTGTTGCCAATTTATTAAGAATTGTTATTTTGTTAAATAAATATTTGATTTAAGGCAACGCGGGAACAAATTTAAATAAAATATTTGCCGAACTAATTTAAAGGCTTTTTAAATTGTCATATTTGAATTATTAAGGAATATGGTATGATTTTTTTCCCAACGACCTCATATTTTATAAGGTTTGGATCAAAAATAATGAGGCACGACGATCTTCGAATCTAAAACTTTATCGTATGTTATTAAATCAATTTCTAGGAAAATTAATTTGATGACTATAAAGATCCGAAAGCGATAAATGTAAGTACAACGCATTCAGCGATGTCACGATGTAACCTTTAGCCTTACTATCAAAATATTGAAGATAAAAATACCTTACAAGTAAACATAATAGGACGGTGTTATTGTCGACTTACATGAGAAAACGACTATGTTAACAAACATTACTTCGACTTATTGAAATATTACCAACTTTATCACTTTCTGTCAAAATGACAAGCAATTAACATTGTTAACACAAGCGGACACGACTACGACTTTATCTATAGAATTTGTTTTAAGAGACGCCGTACGTAGAATCAATTCCATGTATCAATCGATCACTATATCAATTTCTTCTCAATCTTCTCAATGTAACTAATGCGATGCGATAGGGCCAGAGGTGAGCTCGTTACTCTATTAAAGATCCAAGAAAACATTTGGGAAATGTAAGTACACTGTTAATTTCTTGTAAAGCGTACTTTTGAAATATTTCCGTGACTACACGAAACGATCATGCCCGCCGCCCCTCGGCTGCGGTTTAGAAAAAAAACGCAATATCGCATGAGTTTGAAGGGAGGTAAGTGTACCCGGTGGATTTACAGCATTAAATTGGTTCAGTCAGGGCTGTCAAGACTAAAAACTTTGGAAAGCGGCCGCTCGCGTGACGCACAACACGAAACTAGAAGTAGGCAAGGAATTTTTATCGCTTCAAACGTCGTTTTTCAAATCGATTGCTCGTTTACACATTGAAGTGTTTATTGTGAGTTTTCACGCACTTAACCTATGCTGAAAAACTATAACTTTACTTTATTGTATTGTTTAACTTTTTCACCCTAAAAGAAATGTAATATATTTCTATAATATTATATTTTAATTATAAATTATAGTTATAGTAAGTAATATTCCATTAAATATTATTTGTAGCAATGTTCATGGTAATAACAACCCTAAATGTTCATTGGCCGGCAGAAATCCTTTGTCCAAGACAACGTCTACTAAGTTTATCACCGCAGTGACTATAAACAGTTATTGCTTTCTATAGCGCATGAGATGCAACATAAAGTCACCCTTGGTTATAATGGACGCTCCAGAAATTAAATGGTCGGGACGTGCTTTGGATAGATGATAGGTGTCTTCCCTTGTACTAATCTAGCGTATTAATTATTTCTACAACGCTCTGAGAATAGGACCCCTCTTTTGTATCTTACACAAGGGATTTACCATTTGGAAGAAAATAGGACTGTTCATATCAGGTACATCAGTTTAGAATTCTTCCTACTCTTGCTAGTTAGATGAATCTTGTACAAAAAATATTTAAATTTTTTTTCAGATAGTCGCCAATATACAAAATTCTCTTTTTTAAAATCCTACTTTACTTCTGCAACTTGTTAAATTAATTGAATTTTTTTCTTATATTAATTAATTTTTTGTCATGAATAAGAAACACCGTGTTTCTTAATTATCGTAACTGCCATGTATACTTCCTGTTAACAACCGAATTAATAAGGAAAATATTAAGAACGAAGGATCCCTCGAGTGATGCTCTAATTAAAACATGTACAAAATAGTAATCGTATCGGAATAAATGTGCGTTGATATCATCATCATCATCAGCTCACTATACGTCCCCACCGAGGGGCTTAGAGCCTACCCTAAGCTAGGGGTGACTAGGCCATAGTCAACCACGCTGGCCAAGTGCGGGTTGGTTGACTTCACACATATCTTTGAATTTCTTCGCAGATATGTGCAGGTTGCATCACGATGTTTTCCTTCACCGTAAGAACGTCGGATAAATGTATATATGTAAATCGGAAGTCGAAAAACACATTGGTACATGGCGGGATTCGAACCCAGGACCTGCAGATTGCAAGTCAAGTGCTTGACCACTGAGCCACCGACGCTCTCTGGAATACATATAGGCTACTAATTAAGTTTTATTTTAATTCCACGCGGACAAAGTTACGAGCGACAGCTAGTTTGTTTATAATATCGAATATTATTGTCCTGCTATTTAACCATTATGTTTAAAAATTACAGTACTGACAGAGTTACAGATAACTCTATGCTAAGTTAAAAAATATATTACAAGCTTATTTAAAAACATCCTTATTTAGTTCTAAAATAACTTAACATCAGGTTGATGTCCTATTCAAATCACTCAATAACAGATAACTAATACAAAATTAACTATAAATTTTCATAAGAAAGTTATAAGGAAAGTTTCAAGCTATTAAAAAAGAAATAAATAATGTCAAAATATAAAATATAGCTTCTAATTAAAATAATAGTGTTAAATAAAATCATTCGAATTCTTTTAAGATAACTTTTGTTAATTTATCTCCGACAAGATTTGTTTTCTTTCAAATGAAAAAAGCGTAATTTTAAAGCTTG